TGAAGGTTAGGACAATTATCAGGACCGTTGAAGCGTTGTATGGAGGTTATGTGATAACTTATGGTAAAGCTTGGAGGCCTAAGCAGCGAGCGTGGAAGATGATATATGGAGACTGAGAGGATGGGTATGAGCAGCTGCCAGTACTTTTCAATGTAATCAAAGCGGTGAATCTAGGCATGTATTATGATTACATCCCAAAACCAAATGCATGGAAGGATGGGAGGTAGTTATTCTTCCATGCTTTCTAGTGCTTCCCTTAGTGTGTCGAGGCCTTTAGGCACTATCGTTTCGTCTTCTCCATTGATGGTACGTTCTTGATTGGCAAATACCAGGGCACACTTCTTATAGCCATATCCTGTGATGCAAATGACAAGTTGGTTCCTTTGGCATTTGCTTTCGTTGAGAAGGAGAACAATGACAGTTGGGGATGGTTCTTGAGGCTAGTCTGGATACATGTGGTTGGGCCTGGCAGGGAGGTTGGTGTCATATTTGATAGGCACTAGGGCATACTTAATGCCATGCGAGAGCAGATAGAGGGGTATGCACCTTTGCACCATCGTTGGTGTACTCGGCACCTTGCTGAGAATCTACTCTAGAAGGATGGTGTGAAGGATAACTTTGATCTATTCTAGGAGGCTGCTCGATAGCTTGAGGACAAGTACTTTTAGAAAAAGTTGGAGCAGGTCAGAACCGCATCAAATGCAGAAGGTAGACAATGGCTCACAGGTTTGATGAGGGATTTGGAGAAATGAACAAGAGCTCACGACGCCGATGGATGGAGGTATGAGTTTCAGTGCAGCAACATGGCAGAGTCATTCAATAAGTTGCTATTGGGGATACGTGGTATGTCTGTGAATGCAATCATTCAATTCACCTTCTACAAGCTTGTTGCCTGGTTCAACGATAGACACGCCCATGCATTGAAGTTGCGGAGTGATGGAGAGATATGGGCTCCAAAACCAAAGGCACACCTAGAGAAGGCAGATGAAAGGGCTGGCACACATGAAGTTACATGTTTTGACCATGCCACAGGGACTTATCAGGTTGAGCATAGGGGTGATACAACGTCCGACGGTGAGGTCCGAGAGTCAAGGATGCATGTGGTAATCCTCCAAGATTTCACATGCACTTGTGGTAAACCAAGGCAGTACCACTTTCTATATTCTCATTTGGTGGCAGTAGCTAGGCATCGCAACTTTAATATCAAGAGTAGGATACCTCATGAGTTCGGTGTTGGCATCGCAACTATTGTGGACTGTATGGACTATTATTATTATTGAATATGAACTACTATAGACTATAATTATGGACTGTGTGGACTATTAATATGCTCATGTATATGGTTTCAAATGAATGTGGTATATATTTGTATGTTTGTACATGTTGTATTGAGGTTAAACATTCATCTCATATTTGTGTATGGATGGCATAAAAAAATAGGGGAAATTATGGTGAAGTTTTCTGTCTAAAGTACATATTAATTAGCGACATCAGTTTTTTTGGTTCAAAATAGTGATTGAAGTCTGAAATTGAATAGGCTTCTCAGTCATGGAATCTAGGGGAAATAGCCTTTATAGTGATTTGTTATGTCACCGTCGAATATACTTTTCAGTGTCCTTCGAAATAGTGATTGAAGTCTGAAATCAAATAGGCTTTTCAGTTATGAAATCTAGGCTCTCTAGTGTCCTACGATGTAGGCTTTTTAGTGATTCTAAGTATACTTTCCAGGAGCATTTACAACACATTACAACGGCTAGCAAACCTGCCTCTGCCTATATATATGTGTGTTCTAGGATGCATTGCTAACCAAAAGGAAAACCAAACTAGTATTCGGTTTCATTGGAGTAGGAATTTCTGGAGGGTCATCTAGAGGAAAGGGTTTCAGGAGTGGGAGAGGAAAGGAGGGGATGATGGGAACTCCCATTGTGTGGGAAGGGTCTCTTGGGCCTGATTTCTTTGAGGAACCAGTGTATCAGTTTTCCCCCGAGAGCAAGAGTGATTTCACTAAAGAGTGCCCTCTCAGAGGATACGATAACAGGAAGGAAGATTGGCCAAAATGCATGTATGGTGAGGACTGCTTAGTGTAGATGTTCACTAAGGGGATCAACAGAGGTCGTTGCTTCTTCAAATGCCCGTGAGCATGGGTAATTGCTATTACATTTCGTTTGTTAAATATGTTTCTCGAATACCCTTACAACTCACAGGACATACTTATTGTAGTCTTCTGAGTCCGAAGAAAACTATGGGTTCACTAGGTGGGTCGATCCTCAACCAATTTATTCGCATCAGCAGTACATCTACTACCTGTAGGACCAAATCTTTGATCTACAAAGGAAAGTTAGCAGTGGGTATAAGGAAGACGAAGATAATGACAACAACAATGGTGCAAGTTCATAGGAGGCACTCTGCAATGATCCATATTGCACCTGCCCTAATCACAAGAACAAGGGGCCTCCGTCGTCACCCTGCCACCACCACCAACAACAATAGGAGGCTACTGTGGAGAAGATGCAACACAATTTGCTATGTGGCCACACTACTAGGATGACCCTATCTTATTCACATGGCACATCCATGTGTTTGTTGTTTGGTTTAATTACCTAAGGCATGTTAGGTTTAGTTGAAGGAACTATGTACCCTTGTTTGGTACATGTTCTCACATGCCATTTCTTGTGCTTGTTGTTCGCTTCAATTACATAAGGCATGTTAGGTTTAGTTCAGGACCTCTGTACCCTAGTTCCGTACATGTTCTCATATGCCATTTTATGTGTTTTGTGTGTTGAATTATATAATGCCTTACTTCGTTAGGTTTTGTTTGCAGCACGTGATCATATTTCACTACGTCTATAATATTAAACTAAATAGTATGACCACAAATAATAAAAACAACTACATAATGAAAAGTCCAATACTATGACACATTAAATAACACAATAATACTAGAAGTATGTGTCGACAAACTAAATAACGCAGTACATGACCTAAGCATGCCCATAGTTAAAGTGCATTATATGGCAACACAATGAAAAGTCCAACAGTAGACAACATTGTTCATGAATAAACCATAGAACTAGCAAGTAATGGAGACTATTGAGTGCAACGAGGCCACTTTCTCTTCCTCAGGGCATCGGGATTCTCATCCATCGCTGCTTTCGCTCGATGTGCACGCTCAAGCTTCTTCTCCCTCTCCTCCCTATACACAGCAACACGCCTCCTTTCCTCCTCTTCCTTGTGCTTCTTTTTTGCAGCCTCCTCTCGCGTCTCTTCTCCATCATCTCCTTGTCCTCTACCTCCCATCGCAGCAGTTTCTACATCCATTCCTTGTCTTCAGCTTGATCTCTGTGTTGATCCACTGCTCAAAATCACAGAGCGGTGGAGGGGTCTGCAAAAAATGCAATTGTTACAAAACAAAAAAAATCATGCAAGATGTCATATGACACAAACATCAATTCCTCACCATCTTATTAATGCGACGCTGACAAAGTGCAGGCTCAAACGCAAAATTGGAACACATCCAATACCTCTGCCTATACGTGTCCTCTTCATCGGACTTGGCTACTTTGCAAGGATCACCGCAAAAGCACATGGGCACTAGAACACCACTAGGCAGAGGCAATGGGTTGAAGGCATTTTCGGTCGTCCTCGCCATAACTACAATTTAGCCATTTTCGTTCTAAGAACCGAAAGCAATTAACCCATATCATAACAACGTGCGCTGAGGTTACCTTGGTTTGGTACCTTTTCCATGCCTTGGCATTCTATGGTTGTATAGTATAAATATTAAAATTGCATGAAACCCTAAGTAATGACGATTCTTAAGTTGAAAAATCCGACTAATATATACCGAATCGATTTGAAAAAAACTAGGAGGGAGCGAGGATACCTTGCTCTCGAAGATCTATGGATCAAATCAAAGTTTCCAAGGTCTAATATGCAAATTCGTGAGGTAGGGCGAAGTGGGGAGAGAAAAAACCCGAGAGGGAGGAGAAAGAAGAGAAAGAAGGCTCGGGCAGGAAGGTTGGGCGCCGGGTTAAAACACCACCTTGGCGCTATAGATCTTGGTGCTGTTCTCAGCGCCAATAACCACGGCACCAAGCTCGGCGCCAAGATCTATGGCGCTAAGCTCGACGCCAAGATCTACGGCACTAAGGTGCCTGCCAAGTCACCGCCATGTCTACACCGAGCCCAAGACCTAGGCGCCAAAATCTATGGTGCCGAGACGTGTAATCTCGGAGCCACCAACGATGGCACCGAGCTAAGGGTCCAAATTTTGAAAGCATGCCTCTAGGGGCATATTTGTGAAAAATTCAAAAAAGGGCTAAAAAACAAAAAAAAACCACTGCGCGGCTGCGCCAGGCGCTCAGGCATCCAATTTTTTGCGCACACCCTGGTTTCTTATACTACTATAAAATACTGCTTTTTTATTACAAACTAATAAATAATGGTACAATTGATAAGACATGTTTAATTGATAGGACAAAAAATCATTGTGCCCAATGAAAGTCATATTAGGAACAAAAACATGATTAGTTGTTTCCAACTGATTGTGGAATCAATTGTGTATACTACCCTTTCTCACTAGAAACTATTCGTAAAGTCCATGGAGAGAAAAATAAGAGTACTACTTGGAAAAGAACCGTGACGTGTCCGATCACATAGTAGTACTACTACTCAGACAAAAATTGAGACATTGTCCGATCACATGCTCAAGATTTCCCCTGTTGCAATGCCCCTACAATGAGCCGCCCCTATAAATTGATGTCGAATAGTAAAAATTAAGCACTAAAATTTAATTTTTTTTAAACAACCTCGGATAGAGAAATGACCAAAATAAAAGTTGTAGATCTCGAAAAGTTATGAAATTTTGTTTATTACAACTTTCCATGCCTCGCCATCAGCTGGATGGCTAAGCTCATTCTCCACTAGCTTCCTTTTCAACTTGTGACATCGCACCTCCTCTGCCATTCTTTTGGAAGAAAAGATTCTCTTCAGCCTAGGAATCAACGGAAAATATCGCAAAACCTTCTCAGGAACCTTCTTTCTTCCACCATTGTCTTTCCATCTTGATGCACCACAAACCATACAAACATCATTTTTTTCTAGATTCTTCCGAAATAGAACACAATTATTCAGAAACACATGGATTGAATTGTATCCGAGCCCCAATGCACGGATAAATCTCTTTGCTTCCTCATATGATGCAGGAATAGAGCAATTTGGGAATGATGATGACAACAAATTCAGTATCACTGTGAATGCAACATTAGAAATTCGATAAAATGACTTGATATGAAGTAACTTCACCACAAAAGAAAACCTTGTGCAAGGACCACCGGGGTACAATTCTTGCTTCATCTCTTCCAATAGAATTGCAAACATAGATTTTTTCCCTTTACCTTCCTCTTCAGTTGTGTACAACTCCTTTACCATACAACGAATTCCATAGTCAGGGTCATCTTCTTTATCCACATTCATGCCAAAATCCTCATTCAGACTAGTATGTTCATCAACATGGTCATCAATTTCATGTGGTACAACCTCCAATGGTTCTCCATGATGTACCCATCTAGTGTAAGTGGTAGCCATCCCATATATATACAAGTGATCCTACACCTGTCCTTTAGGTTTGCGAACCCGATTCAAACATTGACGACATGGACAGAGCATCTCTTCATCATCATTGAATCTCTCAGAAACAAAGGTCATGAATTCATTCACCCCATTCATGTGTTCCCTGCTGAACATCCTACTCTTGATCCAAGATCTATCCATCTGCACCAAATCATGAGATACACTTGCTCAAACAAATAACATATATATGATATTTGACCAAAATTATCAAACATGTGACATGTCCTTATTTATATGCAATCGATACACAATAGTTGAGCATTGCTTTATCTCCAATAATGGGTTAAATAAATCTGCACAGATCTTTTTTATCCAAGTAACCACATACTCTTTATATATATTTCTTGCTAACAAACAAACACTAAGATACAAAATTGTATTACATGAACTATTGTCCTACAATAGGCTCAAAGCAGTAAGCAGCTACTAAGCACTAAGATGCAAGACTGTACCTTTCTTGTAGGCTAGCACTCTGAGGAGATCAGGAGACCAAATCAAGGGTGCTCCGCTGCTTGACGGAGATCAGCTCCAGCCACGTTGCTGGCAACACCGGTCAGCCTGCTCGCCAAGCCGCTGCACTACCGCGTGCTGCTCCGCTCGACGCTGGCCTCGGGTAGCACCGTCGGCCACTGGACGCCGCGCCACGCACCACCGGCCACGCCCCTGGCCTCGCCGCGCCATGCACCTCGCCGGCCGTTCGACGCAGCAGCTCCCATCACCGCTGGATCCGCCGCTGCTGGCCGCACCTACAGTACACTCGAACCAAAGTCCATGAACACTGGTTCGTTCACATATGGTACATTACCTGCTATAGATATGATATATAAAATAAAATGCGTTTCATAACAAAACCACTTTCACAGCTCAATGGTTTGCTTGCCACTTGTGAACCACGGGATCATGGGTTCGAGACCCAGCACCCACTATTTTGCAGCCTTTAGGCTGTGTTACGGCCAGCTGAAAGCTCTAGTTTGGTTTTGGTTAATTGATGAAACCCTAAGTGCTAACCTAGTTTATCAAGATGATTATGAGATAGGTAGCACTACTCCAAGTGATGAAGCAATGACGAAGATCATGACAATGGTGATAGCATGGTGATGATCAAATGCTTGAACTTGGAAAAGAAGAAAGAGAAAAACAAAAGGCTCAAGGCAAAGGTATAAAATGTAGGAGCCATTTTGTTTTAGTGATCAAGACACTTAGTGAGTGTGATCACATTTAGGATAGATAGCCGTACTATTAAGAGGAGTGTAACTCGTATCGAAATGCGGTTATCAAAGTGCCACTAGATGCTCTAACTCATTGCATATGCATTTAGGATCTAGTGGAGTGCTAACACTCTTGAAAATATTTGTGAAAATATGCTAACACATGTGCACAAGGTGTTTGCAGGGTTGAGATGGGTTTGGGTCCCTCTCTCCCTCCCGCCGAGCTTGCGCGGCGGGATTCGGCGCTTTTGGAAAAATGAAATGTCTATTTTCTATTGCGCCGGATGCAAAATTCTTGGTGGTTGGCACATTTGAGCAAGGGTGAAGAAGTTAGAGTTGAAATGGAGTTGGTCGAAATGATGTTTGGCGTCGGTCTCTTGACCGGACATTTGAGTCACTCAATGACCGGACGACTGAAAAAAATGTGTCCGTCGATTGTCGACGACGACCTGATGGGTAGGGTTGAGCACCGGACGCCGGTCTGCTGCCCGGTCAAGGTGGACGGACGCGTCCGGTCGAAAAAACACGCCTCGGGAGCTTCTATCGAAACGGCCGGACGCTGGGGCTTTCAGCGTCCGGTCGTTTTTGACCGGAGCGTCCGGGTAAACTTTCAGTAGCCATTGAAATCGACGAACAACGTTTGAAGTGGTGACGCGTGGCGTCCAGCCAGGCTACCGACAGACGCCGAGGGCTGTCGTCCGATCAAGATGACCGGGCGTCTGGTCGAGCGTGTTTTGCTTGATGAAAGGGTACAACGACTCTATTTGATGGGGGCTCTATTTATAGCCCCATGGTGGCGGCTCAAGGGCTCACTCTTGGACATTTTCATTGACATAGCAACCTTGTGAGTTTAGCCAAAGCCCTCCCACTCATCTCCATCATTGATCCATCATCATTGTGAGATTGGGAGAGAATCCAAGTGCATTGCTTGAGTGATTGCATCTAGAGGCACTTGGTATTCGTGTGTTCTTATTTGTGGATTTCGCTTGTTTCTCTTGGTGGTTGCCACCACCTAGACAGTTGGAGCAGCGGTGAAGGATCGGCACGAGTTGGTGATTGTTCGTGGCCGCCTTTGGTGATTGTGAGGGGAGTTGTACCTTCCCGTGAGTGCCGAAAGGTAACTCTAGTAAATTGCTCGTGTCATTGAGTTACCTCACTTGTGGGTCGGTTCTTGCGGTGTCCTATCGTGTGGGACGAGGTTTGTGAAACACATCTTAGTCATTTGAACCACCAAGTGTTGGTCGACACAACGGGGGACGTAGCATGTTGGCAAGCATGTGAACCTCAGGAGAAAATCGATTGTCTCTCTTCTTTGTCATTCTCCGGTGATTGGCTATATATTCATCTTGTGATTGGTTCATCCCTACACGCGTCGGTATAATCACTCTACTCACTCATTTACATTCTTGCAAACTAGTTGATACAAGCTCTTTAGTGTAATTAGAATTGAGAGCTTGCTTTATTATTTACATTCATCTAGTTGAGCTCTTTAGAGTAGCAAGGTTGAGAGCTCTTAGTGAGTAATTACATAGCTAGTTTGTGTGCCTAAGTATTCATTGCAACTAGAATTGTTGGATAGGTGGCTTGCAACCCTTGTAGAGCTAGAGCAAGTTTGCATTACGCTATTTGTCATACTAATCAAATTGCTCTAGTTGATTTGTAGATTTTTAAATAGGCTATTCACCCCCCTCTAGCCATATTAGGACCTTTCACCAACGGGCTTTCTGGGGCGTGGCTCTCGGGCCTGGTGCAAGCAGGCTTTTCTAGGCGCGGTTGTTCGGCCTAGCGCGCTAGATTGGCCCATTTAAGTGCCCATTTTAGCTTCCACGAACAAGTGGCCCAATGACGTGGCAATAGGCCTTGCCAACTTGGACAACAATATTTAAAATAATTCAATAAATATTTTGTGACACATAAATAAGCCTTATGACATAGCAAATATCATCACTAGACCTAGTAGGACTAGTTGTATGACATTTGTTGTGACATACAACTTTTTATAGTCACTATTGGCATACTAAATACGTCAAAAAGCCACACATTTCTTGTAGCAGTTAATTAACCCAGTGTAGCATACTAGCATACTACACATGCAAGCATGAGTTTCCTTCTCATACTTGACTTCTACCGTTACTAAGCACGTAAGTAATTAAACGTTACCAACCCATTGATTAAAGAAGGCTCTAATCAATTAGTGAGTAGTTCTAACTTAGTGAAGCAATATTAAATTATTACTCATATTCAAATGAAACGCATACTCATAATGAGACAAGTACTAAGTATCCAAAATAGGGTTCATAGTAGTGGGGTGCCTGCCTGTTGAATGAACAAGGTTCCTATAGTTTGCCGACGTCCTCCAGCAGCAAGGGGTAGGCTCCATCCTCCTCTCCTCTTCATCCTCTTCCTTTCTCTCCTCTCTTCTTCTTCTTCTCCCTTCCTTCTCCTTTCTCTTCTCCTCTCCTTTCTCCGTCTCCTGGTTGTTCACGTGAATGAGAGTGGATGGGGGGAGGGAGAGAGGCCTGGTGCCTTTGTGAGTATAGATGGCTGATGAGTGGGCCCATGTTGGATGTGGGGTGGACCGCACAACAAATTGCATGGGACAGATGTCACTCGATTCTGACGGACAGTCCACCGTGAGTGACAGACACTTCGTCAACGCACAAGCGCGTGTGTGACAGTTGGGCACATGCATGAGACACGTGTCGACTGGTTTTAATGGATAGTCCGCCACGAGTGACGGATGATCTAGTGGCGTGTTTGATAGGCTGACTGACTGTGCATAGGTTTTGACGGGCAGTCCGCTAGTGGCTCCGGACACTCCGTTAGTGCACGTGCTGGCTAGAATTATTCTATGTCTATGAGATGTCTTGACGGATGGTCTGGTGGTGAGGTCGGACGATTCGTCAAAATGTGCAGTGCTCGGGTCTTGGCTAGGCTAAGCACATGTTGATTTCTAATTTGAATTATAAATGCACCTGATGCTCAGAAGGTCTAGAATTAAGCATCAATTTATTTTGGAAATGTAGATTTTTAGATGCAGTATATGCTCATGATGCTTGTGAACTATTATAGTGATTTTCAGGTCATTACATGCCCTCTATACACTATAAAAGGGGCTATGGTTCTCAGTGGAGATCATCACTCAAGCATACAAAGCATTCCAAGCTCTCCAGAAGCTCTCCAGAGTAGTAGCTTTAGAAGTAGTAGCTAGCTAGTAGTGATAGAGTAGAGCGAAGCTCGCCTCGGAGTCTGAAAGAGTCTTCTGGTCTGGTATAGCTCCTTTATAATCTTTCTTTTAGCATTTACTTTATTTAGTACTTTACTTTGTCAAGTACTTTATTCAGTAATATAGCTTTGCTTATTTCAAGTCATGTCTCGCTCTTGTCTATCATTAGTGAGCCTAGGTGCTTGTTCTCTGGCATTTGCATCATAGTTATCTTAGTGTTTAGTCCGCTCATCATTAGTACTTGTTCTACCGTCTGGTTAGGGTGTTTTGATCTTATTTCACCGGAGCTCGGATCGAAACAACGAGTTTATAGATTATGCGTGGTGCTTAGGCTATATCTTGCCTGTAGGTACGACTACATCCCCGGATAGATTGTGGTAGTTGGCAGGTGGTGACGGCCATGTTCTTCCTCTGTATTCCACCATGTTGGGTCTAGTTATTAAAACGTAGGGCTCGTAGTGCTTTGTGCCCGATTGAATTCATAGCAAGTACACACCTTGTACTAAGGACATTCATACTAT